ATACCAATCTCAGAATAGGGGTAGAGATGAAGAGGAATTTATTCTCTTAGACGGAGTGATTCTGTGGAAGTCTTTACTGCAGAGGGCTGCTGACTCTGGGTCATTAGGTATATTCATGGCCGAGATAAACAGATTTTTAATCAGTAAGGGTATCAAGGGCTATGTGGAAAAGGCAGCAAAGTGAAGTTGAGGATTATTAGATTGGCCATTATCTCATGAATAGTGCAACAGACTTAATGGGCTGAATGGCCTACTTCTGCTCCTATTGTCCTTTTGAATAGCTATTACCAGACACCCAGTTTGTCAAAGAGCTTTCTTCAAAATGATTATTCTTGTTTCAACCTAACAAGAGGTTGTTCATTTGCTAACACTTCACTATAGAGAAAGACAGCAGCACGGTGGCTCAGTGGTTAGCACTGCTGCCTCACAGCGCCAGGGACCTGGGTTCAATTCCACCCTTGGGTGACTGACTGTGTGGAGTTTGCACATTCTCCTTGTGTCTGTGTGTTTTTCACTGGGTGCTCCAGTTTCCTCTCACAGTCCAAAGATGTGCAGGCTAGGTAGAATGGCCCATAATGTTCAGGGATGTGCAGGCTGGGTGGGTTAGCCATGGGAAATGCAGGGTTACAGGGATAGGTAGGGAGATGAGTCTGGGTGGGATGCTGTTCAGAGGGTCAGTGTGGATCCATTGGGCCAAAAGGCCTGTTTCCACTCTGTAGGGATTCTATGAGAGAGAGTAACACACAGGGTCTCTAACCTGATTTTTTTTTTAAAAAATGAGCAGCTCAGCATTTGCAAAATAATAATATTTTAAAGTACTGCAGCAAATCTCCAATGGCATTGCTCACTGGATTTTTAGTTGTTTTCAGATTAGGAGATGATGTGAGGATACTGGTTGATTGCATTTAATACCATCCCTGGAGAGGACGAAATACATGACAAATTTAATCTGTTATAGATTAATAATTCAAAACCAACTTGAGCTGCTACTGGACTGTAAACAATAATGTGTCACATCTTTCCTTTCACATTTTATTACAATCACCACGAGGAAATCTAAACCAAAACATCCAAATTTATCTCTTGGCTCCCAAATGAAAAAATTACTAACTTTTTGTGACTTTAATACAAATCAAAATCGATAAAGATTAAATATGAATTAGGAGTCCAACAATACATGAATAAAAGGTCAATTTCTCCCTAAGTAGCAAATTTTCCTTTTTGTATTGCTTATATGTTAAAGACTGTGACACATAGCTTCTCTATTTTTAAATAAAGCTTTTGAAATTTGATGCTCTATCCATATAACTGATTATTTTTTAATGTGTGGTAGCTTTTTTAAAAATCTAAGTACACCCACCACTGCCTCTCTCTAACCCATAGGTGCTGAAGTCCACTATAGCACTCCCAAGTGCCAGCCCAATTTTCAGCCAACAACAATAATTAGATAGAGCTCGGATGAGGCTGGTCTAGAACCTAGTACTGCGACAAAATGGTTAGATTTTTAAAGAGTGGCAAAGGAGTTGAACTCATTCTGTTTAATGTCAGTAATGAAGTCAGTAAGTTAGATGAAATTCCTCTATCTGCTTTTATGTTTAAAATTACTCATCCTATTGTCTTCAGAAAACTAATGACATATAAATACATCATTTTTAAAAATCTTATATGCTTTTAACCCTTAAGTATCATGCAAACAGAAACAATCAGAATGTACACTGTAGGTGCTGGCAGCTCAACACCAAAAGTATCAACGTTGTTCGAACATGAAAACAATAAAGTAATAGTAACGAACAGTAAATGTTTAAGCAGGTACATAGTGTCTCTACACTGCAAACCTTCCAACAGAGGCAACCAAGAAAATTATTCCTCCAATAGAGTACGTTCTGACTATCACCAGCTGCAACACAACCCCACTTGTAACAAAAAAAACCTTTAATCCTTCCAATTGAGAAATATGATCCAGTTTGTCTGTTTGGGAATGGAAAGCAGACATAAGAACTCTCCTCAGTCCCACAGACCAATACTCTATTGGCACATGTGATGTTCGTGTAAAACATTGTAGGCTGTGGGGACATTTCAATGGGTTGCAGGTCTTGTTATAAGAGCCTGTGCAGACCTCTGACAGCATTTCTGGTTAAGTGTAGCCTCAGATACACTGCTGCTCAGTAAATGGGGCAGGGTGGGGATGTCTGCTTATTAGCTGTCTCATCACATGCAGTCCTAACAATCCCAACAGTAATTCTACAGACTCCCTGTGCTGTTCCTCCTCCAGTGGAAAGAATTGGGCTAGCTAACTCCTGCAGTATCAGTAATTCCCTGTACATTCCAAAAGCTTCAAAACAAATTCTAGAAAAACTGCCAAGTAATCCAAGTCAGCAATATTTGTTTGATTCACCAAGACCTTTTTTAAAATCAAACCAATAGATTCCAGTAGTTCTGAACATATGAAGGTGTTGCTAAGATGCTTGGAATTGCTGATCCTGACCTGTGCCACCATGTAATATGTCACAGGACTCCAATTTGAATGCTGAAATTAAGCATCTGCCTCATTCCAAAAGACAAAGAAGTGGATGGTGGAGCCTGGTTCAATCTAGGCTATCAAGAGGAACTTGGATTTGTGGCAAGGGAGAATGTGCAGGGCTACAGGGAGAAAGCAGGGGGAATGGAACTTGGTGCGTTGCTTAATTGGATAGCCGATAGATAAGCTGAATGGTCTCGTTCGGTGCTGCAACAATTCTGTGATCCTGTGAAAACAGTCAGTTGGATTAGGGCAGGAGATGCTGGGCCACATTTAAGCATTACTGGCCTATCCCCTTCACTGTGGCAGTGAACACCCAGCACCAAATTAGCTGTGAGCTAAATAACGTCAGGCCTCTGAAGCATCAGGTTAAACTCATCTTTTATGAACCCCTGGCTCACTTTCTCTTTTACAGCATGATATTTTAAAGGCCCTTAAAATTCCTTGAATGTTTAATGTTCCTTCGTTGTAGTCTCAGTAATCCTCCTGGTTTTCAATCATGACTTCTCCTGACGTTCAGTCCTGCTCTCTTAGAGAAGTGACCAGATACATGAAAGTCACAGCAGGTTGATCCCTAAAGTAGCAGCAAACTAGAACTTGCGAGTACTAAGTAAGCTAGAATGATGCATGAGTGATGTGTTCCAATGTAAAATCTAATATACGAGTAACAATAACGGACTTGTGTTACATTTTATAATTACGTGAATAAATAATACATTGATGCAATTTGTAGCTGAGATTTTTAAGGTTGAACATTTGGTTCTGCCATTATTCTCTATTTCAGATAACAATCAATCAATCCTTGCTCGACATCATCTTACTCTACAATCATGACTTAACTTAAAATTGTGCTCTATCTGACATATTTCCTCTAAATTTCCTAACATTAGGGCTGAAGACCATAAGATTTTCTAATATTTCCTGTTAGCATTCACTAGCATTAGGGAGTGGTTTTAGAATGTTCTTGTGCCCCTGTATGTGCGATTTGGATAACTCATTTTTTAATTCAGTACATCAGTAAGTTTTTATTCATTCTGTGCTTCCAGAATTTAGTCAGTAATTACACATTCAATTGGAATGATCCTGATGTGTCAGTGCACACTCTAAAATTGATCAATAAACCTATTAATTAATCAAAAACCTCAGTTCTTCATCCCCTATCTTATATCTTGTGTATTTACACACAGACTCCTCAATTTTTAAATTTACTATTTAAAAGTATTGCACTTAATGGGCCTCTCGTACTGTAGGGCATTCTGGGAAGGGGAAGGCTGATATAAAACATCCTAGTCTTCCAGTCCCAATCCCTAATGAAGCACCTCACTACCCATGCACTCACCCCATCCCTAACTCCTCTGTCCCTGCCACCCACAAAACCACAACCCCCATAGGAAAGAATGAAAACTTCGGACAAGGACAGGATTTGTCACATGATGGGACTCTCTCCCTTGGTCAAATAGGTTTCAATTAACATTTGAAGAATGTGACCCATTGTTGGGTACTCACGCCCCTCACATCCTCTCCTCCAGATCACCACAATCACCCACTGGCCACTGCTCTCACTCCTCTGCCATACTCTCGACATTTTTATTTTTAGAATACACCCAGTCGTAGATATGTACAGCACGGAAACAGACTCTTTGGTCCAACTTGTCCATGCTGACCAGATATCCTAAATTAATCTAGTCCCATTTGCCAGCATTTGGTCCATATCCCTCTAAACCCTTCCTATTCTTTTTAAATGTTGTGATTGTACCAGCCTCCACAACTTCCTCTGGCAGCTCATTCCATCCACGCACCACTCTCTGAATGAAAAAGGTGCCCCTTAGGTCCCTTTTACATATTTCCTTTCTCACCTTAAACCTATGCCCTCCAGCCTTAGACTCCCTACCCTGGGGAAAAGACCTTGGCTCTTCACCCTATCCATGCCCCTCATGATTTTATGAACTGCTGTGAGGTTACCCCTCAGCCTTGGATTCCGGCTGTGTGATGGTGTGGCCAGACCAATGCAGCACTGTCTTTTGTTAAGAATCCCTACAGTGTGGAAACTGGCCCTTTGGCCCAACAAGTCCACCCAGATCCATGCTCCTATAAACCCACCTATTCTACACACCCCTGAACACTATGAGCAATTTAGCATAGCCAATCCACCTAGCCTGCACATCTTTGGACTGGGGGAGGAAACCGGAGGACACCCACGCAGACACGGGGAGAATGTGCAAACTCCACACAGTTGTCCGAGTGTGGAATCGAACCTGGGTCCCTGGTGCTGTGAGGCTGCAGTGCTAACCACTGAGCCACTGTGCCGTCCTCAAAGTCTAAACCACTTTCCAGGCCCTATGCGATAAGTGGATTAGCTCTCTCACTGCTGATATCCAAACAGGCCATCAGCATATCAACATCATGGCAAAGGACCCCCATGCAGATCCTTCTTTGGTACAATGCATCAATGGTCTATGCAATTTTTAAAATAAAATTTTACCACGCTTCTTTGGGACATCTAGCATCTTCTCCTTTTTCTTTTCTTTTCTCTCAAATGCCTTTTTGATATCGGAGACATTAATGACCTCCTCAGGCTTTCTCTCATTCAAATGTTCTGCCATCTTGGTTGTCTGCTGTGCTGGCTCCTCGGAGTCTGCGGATGTCACATGATGTACTGGCAACGCAAGCATTGCAGAGGCATCAATGGAAGTTTGAGTCTCAGAGGCTGCACCTGTACCTCCAGGTAAGATGCTATGCTCCCTTCCTTGCCCAACCATCATAGTGCAGTAGTCAGTAGCTCTTTTGCCCGGTTCAGGTGCACTGATGGGTCCCTGCTCCAGGTTTTGACTGAACTCCACCTCGCTGCTACCCTTTTGGGTAGGTGATCCACCAACATCAACTTGGTCATGACTATTTCCTGGTCTGCTTGTTGGAGTTTTGCACTGCCCACTGTCTTCTGAACTTTCATTAACTTCACAAACCTGATCCTTTTGTGAGGTTTCATTAGCCGTGCTGGCTTGATGTCCATGCACAAGACCGTGTTTTTGGATTTGGGTCATGTGATCAAATTGACACTCTTCAGTCTTACGAGAGTCAATGTCCTTCACATCAAGTTTCTTTTTCTGCTCATTTTGTACCATTTCATTGGATTTATTAAGTTGGTCTGCTTGCTGAGACAGACTGTCCTGTCCACTGCTCTTAGTATTACTAGGTGGGCACAGCTCTTGGTTACTTTTGTCAAAGTTAGCTTCTCCACTGCAGAGAGTTTGTGTTTTATTTATTGCCTGTCTAGCCAGTGCAAAATGGTTCAATCCAGACTTATCTGTATTTTCCAGAAGTTGAGGAGGAGAGGCATCTCTTCCATCCTGATTATTGTTGCTGGTATTTTCATGCTCTGTAGCTTGCTCCAAATTACTGCTCTGTCCCCAGTCAATGAGGCAAAATGTATTAGGTTGGACTTTGGTATTAAATAGATCTGCCTCTGTGAAAGGTGCACTTTGGTTTAACCAACTGCCACCCAGTTTGGTTTCCTCAGCCGGGCTGATGTTCCATCTAGCACCAGTCTTCAAAGTTTGATTGGACTGACTGACTTGTTCACTGACCATAGCATGAGTGGAACCTTTATCATCCAGTTGTGTCTCCTCCCCAAGGTCGAAAGGGCTGAACTTTCTCTCAGGGTAATCTTCTAGTGCAACATCTCCACGGTCTTCAGGGGACATCACTTTCTTCAGCGGAATTTTATCCTCCATTTGTTCAGTTTGGTTACATTCCTCATCTTGTGGATTTAGATTACTGTAATCAGTTGTACCACTTTGATCCCGTTGTGGGAACAAATTGTTCCCACTTGCATCTCCAGAAGACGACGCAGGCAGTTCTGATGAGCAGCTCGCTTCACTGAGCTGGCTCAGTTGTTGATCTGGTTTACTGATGTATAGCTCAGTCTGAGAGAGAAAACGCTTAAGACTTCGCTCACTCCCACAAAGCTTGACTTCAGTGACAGAATGGTCACAGGGACTTTCCCCCATGGTTTTCTGACACAAATTGGCTGTAGTGTTTTCAGTTCCTTTGTCTTCGATACTTTGTTTTTCTGCTTCCTTCTCATTGTGCCTCTCTGTTGAGAAAATCTGATTAAAGGCCATCTTGGATGGACCTCCCACCAGTTCACCTGCTGATTCCACAGTGCCTTGCTGTTCAATTACAAGAAGGTTTGAGGTAGCCTCACCTTCCTGGGTGTACTGCCGTCCAAGTGGTCCTGTGTTTGGGGTCTTGATAGTTTCTTCCTGCAGCTGTTCCTCATTCAGTTGTTTCTCCTGAGGCAATTGCTCACTGGGCTCTGGAGCTGCTTCTTCGACTTTCTCGAACTCCTTGTTGCACACCAATTCTGACCCACCTTCATCCTGCTGAACAGCCAATGGCTGGTTTCTTGGACATCTGCTTTCCTGCTCTTGCCAAGTCGGATCACTTTCCAAAACTGCTTTGCATGTTGGAACAATGTACCCATTTTCCATCCTCTGTTTATTTTTAGTTTCAGCTTCCATTCCGTCACAAATAGAAACAGCTTCCTCTACACCACTATCATTTTCTATATTCCTCTCGGTGTTTACTGTTAGAGAATCCAGTTTCTGAGCAGAATTATCGTTGTCCATTCTCTCAGTGTGAGGCTGTCCCTCAGCCTCGTTTTCCTGATGCTTCACTCTATGTTCAGGCAGTGAAGTGTCTGTGACACCAAGCTGTACAGTGCAGTACAACGAAGCAACGGGCTCCACTTTGTTCAAGCTCACTTCAATATTTGTACCTCCGGCTGGGTTATCATCTAGCTTTTCCTGGGTTTCTTCAATGTCTTGAAGGCTTTTCATTTTTTCCATTTTAACACTTGATCAATGAGAGAAAATATCACACGAGTTATTACAGAAAGCAGAGCTTGTTTAACAGACAACCAACCTCCACTGTATGTGCACCAGCTACTGTCCTTTTAAAGCCATGTAGTTGGATACTTTGCCATAAGGGCTCATCCCTTTCCTACTAAGGTGATGTAATGAACTAGATTAAGCAGAAATTTAAACAAGGGGCAGCTGATTGGCTGAATTTAACAGAGTTGAGTAACAGAGCATGACTTATGCCAAGAATATTCACTGCAGCAACAACAATTAAACCAAGAATAAAATCCATTCGTGAGATATACACACTTTACTGCAACTCAGCTTTGTTTAATGCTTTTTGCCCATTAATTCCTACCTTTTTTCACAACTGCAGGTAAACTAAAAGCTGGTTTTGTCCAGAATTCACACTGAGAGCAGCTGAAATGAAAGCTCTGGCAAACTGTGAGGCAGTGGCACAATCTCTTATCTTAATCACTGACCTCTGGTTTACATACCAACACACATAAAGGTTTGCATTGTAGCCCCTGCATCTGCTCATTGGTTAAAACTGTGGCCTTTGAAGAGATAAGATTTAAATTATTGCCATTGGTTCTTCGCTGTGCAATGCTGTAGAACACATCGGTTTGACAAACACAGTGCTCTCACTTTCAAATCCAGACAGACTCCATTGTATCTTATCTCGCTTTCCCCACTGCCCATCAGTCCCTCACCTACTAAACATTATTCAGACTGCAGCCTTGATAGGTTCATTTGAGGACATATTCAAAAATTTGCACAGATAGAATCTGATTGGCTCTGTTAGTAATTATACTGCACAAGCATACAAATTAGTAGGAGTAGGCCATTCAATCCCTTTGGGCTGCTCCACCATTTACTTAGGTAATGGCTGCACAGATAGCAAGTAATGTGGCCTGCACTGCATGCCATTTTGGCAAGTCAGTACTACAGGTATTAGGAACATGTATCTAGTCTCCTCCAACACCTTGATAGGAGGCATTCTGTTAGACCTGATGGTGCACAAAGCATTTCAATGTGCATACCCTACAGCACACCTTTGCAGGCTGTTCCATCAAAATCTTCATCTGAGTGCCCTTCAGCAAACTCACCTCAACTGACACCTGTGCCATTTTTATTCACTGCCTGCAGGCCATCTGTGGTTCCTAAATCAGCACTCCAGATCCTCCCTCTACACTGCCCTTTACAGTTCACACAGTGCCCCTATCCAAGCTGGCATTGAGTATGAGAGATGGAGACACTTTTCTTCATCATCTGTGTTCTGCTTCTCTTGGACATCACAATCCCTCTGTAGTTCTTGACACCATAGAAATTCTTGGTTATTTTAAAAGAGAAAAAATTAAGGGTAGTTTTGTGATCAGGGAAAGTGTAGGTAGAGAAGCAAAAGCAGTACGTTTGCAACCTTTACTATTTCTATATCAGAGACCCTGCAGGATGAGGGGAGTTAAGATGTGAGAAGCTGGATTAGGTAGGACTGTGTACTCATTTTCATTGATTTCAGCCCTGCCTCTGACCACGGCCTCAATTATAGTTATTTCAATGATAGCCAGAACCATTTCCTGTATCGGGGTGAAGGTATTGCAGCCATACTTGCCCTTGACAATCAGGTGGTTTTTTAAGCCACCTTGTCCTGCAAGAGTAAAACATGTGCCAGGGAGTTTGGTGCAATCTCTTTTGTTGATGTGCCCGCCATAGATGACTAGCTAGCAGTGTGTGCAAACAGGGAATTGGATAGGAGGCTTGCAGCAGCACCATGTGTGAAGATCAGGTGATTGTATGAGATTGCTGGTAGGTGGGTGGAAAGGGATGGTGACTAGAGTAGTGTGGGAGGTTTGTGGCTCATCTATAAACGTGGCATTTGAAGATGTTATTACAGACCTTGATCACT